ATTATTTCCTCTTGGTCTGATAGAGCCTGGTAACACCCCTGAGACTATGGCCCCTAGTTATCCTTCAGGCCTGGAATTGAACTCACTTCTGTGATTTCCAGCCAAACAATAGACAGGCATATAGGGTGAACATTTACACCAGGTAGATACACTCCTTAGAGCGATCAATTGTGGGGGAACAGAAGGGCCATATTTGCACAGGGAGGTAGCTTGGGGGGCAGGAATGCATAGGAAAGAAGGACACAGGGAAGAGGTAACTACAAAGCAAAGAAGTGGTAAGACAGCTGTTATGTTGTGGGGATTGTAGTCAATGTCATGAAACAAAATGTGTATGAAAATTAAAAAATAAAAATAAGTAAGAAATTCCTGCCTCTCAGAGTGAGTGTAAGGATGGAATGAGTCAAGATTTGTAAAGTAGGGCAGTGCCGAGCCCAGAGTAAGCACTCAGTAAATGTTAACTGTTACCATGGTGATGGTGATGGCTTTGCCAGGGTCTGGGGGCTCTCCCTGCAGTTGGACCCCACTTGGCCCCTGGTAACCCCATGCACTTTACCTGTCCACAGAAACATAATGAACAACAAAGTCTTCTACCAACATCCGAACCTGATGCGGGCGCTGGGCATGCACGAGACAGTCATGGAGGTCATGGTGAACGTCCTTGGGGGCGGCGAGTCCAAGGTAAGAGGCATGAGTGGGCCAGGAGCTCAGGACGGAGCCGCTGAGGGCAGGCCCTGACCAGCCACCCATGCTGCCTGCCCCCAGGAGATCCGCTTCCCCAAGATGGTGACAAGTTGCTGCCGCTTCCTTTGTTACTTCTGCCGCATCAGCCGGCAGAACCAGCGCTCCATGTTTGACCATCTGAGCTACCTGCTGGAGAATAGTGGCATCGGCCTGGGTGAGCACCCCCAAATCCAGGGGCTGCCCTTCAGAGCCCACTCCTAGCAGCTCACCCAGGTTTGCCCCACTCATTCACTGGCTCACTCATGCATTCCGGCATTCACCAAACATCTACCCTCAACCCTGGGTCTGATCCCGTACCAGGCAGTGCTCAGAACACAGTGGTGGCTGAGACAGCCCTGGGACTGGTCCTCATGGGGCTTACAGTGCAGTGGGAAAGACAGACTCATCCTAGGGCAACAGTCCAGGGTAGTCAGATCCAAGGTGGAAGCACAGCCCAGAGCAGGCGCCTGACCCAGCCTGGAAAGGGAGTAGTCCAGGAGGGCTCCCCAGAGGAGATGAGACAAGCAGGAACAAGACAGGCTGTTAAGAACCTCGGAAGATCATTCTCACCATCCACACAGGCATGCAGGGCTCCACGCCCCTGGATGTGGCAGCTGCCTCTGTGATTGACAACAATGAACTGGCCTTGGCATTGCAGGAGCAGGACCTGGAAAAGGTAAGGAGGGTGGAGTTTGGCCCCTGGTCTGGGGAGGCCATTGATTTCTACCTGGCCCCTTGGGGCATCTGCTGATGCTGGGCTCATTCTATTGGGCTGTTCTGGATGCTCCAGGGCTGAAACAGAAGAGGAGTAGTTTGCAGGGAGAGGACAGGACACAGTGGCTCATTTATGGGGTCCACGGGGCTAGGTGCAGATCCATGCTCCACCACTTCCAGCTGCGTGACCGGCGCAGGTGTCCTGGGCTTCTGCGTTTACAGTGAAGGGTGAGAGTTCTAACTCAGCTATTTGAGTTCAACTCCCCTTCCCTACCCTCTGCTGTGCGACTAAATTCACATTGTTTCCTGAACATAATAATATAAACAACTGCATAGAGTGGTTGTAAGGATTAAATGAGTTAATCCATGAAAGCGTTTAGAACAGTAAGTGCTCAGTAATGGTTAGTTGTCATTGAATTGTTCTTCATTTAACAAATAGTTCTGGAGTAGCTACTGTGTGTCAGGACCTGTCCAAGGCAGTGGGGATATGACAGGGATCAAGATAGTCAAAATCCTTGTCCTTAAGAAAAGACCAGTACACCACACGATCTGCAGTCCATACAACTATGAGACCAGAAGAACTAGATGGTGCCCAGCTACCACTGTCAACCACTGGCAGGAGGATCTATGTAGGAGATCCTGGATAGAGAGGGAGAACAATGTGGAACAAAACTAAAAATCATTTGGAAAAAAAAAAAAGAGGGGGACCAGGTTTGCTGGTGGAATCACTGAGACTATGGCCCCTAGCTGCCCTTCAGGTCTGGAATTGAACCCACACCTGTGGCTTCCAGCCAAACAAAAGACAGGCATATGAGTTGAACATTTACTTGAGGTAGATACACTCCCTTGGAGAGAATAATCATGGGAGAAAGAAGGGCTGTTTATGCACAGGGAGACAGCTCAAGGGGCAGGAGTGCATGGAGGGGTGGACACAGGGAAAAGGTAACTATAGGGAGGAAGTGGGAGGGGAACTGTTGCATTGTGGTAAATTGCAGTCAATGTCATGAGACAAAATGTATGTGAACTGCTGTATGGAAAGTGAATTTGCTCTGTAAATTTTCACCTAAATCACAATTAAAAAAAATAAAAAAGGCCAGATTTGCTGGTCTGATAGAGCCTAGTAAGACCTCTGAGACTGTGGCCCTAGTTACCTTTCAGGTCTGGAACTGAACTCAGTCCTATGGCTTCCAGCCAAACAACAGACAGGCATATGGGGTGAACATTTACAACAGGTAGATACACTCCTTGGAGCGATCAATCGAGGGAGAACAGAAGGGCAATGTTTGCACAGGGAGACAGCTTCAGGGGCAGGAGTGAGTGGGAGAGAAGGACACAGGGAAGAGGTAATTATGGGGAGGAAGTGGGAAGAGAGCTGTTATATTGTGGGGAATTGCAGTCAGTATCATGAAACAAAATGTGTATGAACTGCTGTGTGAAAAATGAATTTGCTCTGTAAACTTTCACCCAAATCACAATAAAAATAAATTAAAAAAAAAATCCTTGTCCTTGTGAAGCTGACGCTGTAGTTTGAAAGATGGATAATAAGCAAGACGAATAAGTAAAATATATAGTGTTAGCTATTGTTGAGTGAAATCCAAGTGTCAGGAATTTAGAGAAGAGTGTGTGAATTTAGAGACGAGTGACCAGGGAAGGTCTCACTGAGAAAGGGACATTTGAGTAGAGCTCTGAAGGAGATGAAGGGGAGCCACATGGACAGCAGTGGGAAGAGAATTCCAGGCAGAAGGAACAGCCAGTGCAAAGGCCCTGAGGTAGGAGTGACCCTGATGGGTTTGAGGAACAGCAAGGAGAGCAGGTGGATGGAACAGAGCAAGTGAAGGGGAGAGTGAGGGGAGGGGAGGGCAGGGAGGTGATGGTGGCAGCTTGTGTGGGGGCCTGTGAGTCCCGCGGAGGGCTCTGGCTTCTCTCTTGAGTGGGATGGAGCCAGAGGAGGGTCTCAAGCAGAGGGGTGACCTGACTTGGGTGTCCATTGGCCCCCTGTGGCTGTGTGTGGGGAACCCATTTGCACCCAGGGGATGACAACAGGGAAGCCAAGAAGGAGGCTTTGCCATGGTTCAGGCAGGAGACAGGGGTGGACAGGACCCGGGTTCTTGTTTGCTAAGGGATCTGGAGATGAACTGGATTGAGGGGCTCCAGGTGGGCAAAGCCTGAAGCCTTGGGGAGGAAGTTGGTCTGGGTGTGGCCTCTGCTGAGCCCCTGCCGGTCCCCCAGGTGGTGTCCTACCTGGCAGGCTGCGGCCTCCAAAGCTGCCCTATGCTCCTGGCCAAAGGGTACCCGGACATCGGCTGGAACCCGTGTGGCGGTGAACGCTACCTCGACTTCTTGCGATTCGCCGTTTTCGTCAATGGTGAGACGGGGATGTGGCGGTGGTGTGGGGTAAGAGGCCTGGCCTGGGCAGGGATCCCTGGAAGTGGGCACACGGCAGGGTCTAGGAGGCCGATAGGGCCTGGCATTATCCTTTGAAGTATGGGCCCTGGGGCTGCTGGGGAGGGTCCCTGGGCTGTGCCCTGGAGCCTTCCCGACCTACCCGGCTGGCGGCAGGCGAGAGCGTGGAGGAGAACGCCAACGTGGTGGTGCGCCTGCTCATCCGCAAGCCCGAGTGCTTCGGGCCTGCGCTGCGGGGCGAGGGCGGCTCGGGGCTGCTGGCCGCCATCGAGGAAGCCATCCGCATCTCGGAAGACCCCGCGCGGGACGGCCCGGGCGTGCGCAGGGACCGGCGGCGAGAGCAGTGAGTCTCCCCAGCCCCCGCGGCCGTGAGGCAGCCCGCGCCCCCGCGCCCCCTGCTGTCTTCCCCACCCCGTGTGCCTTCCCTGCAGCTTCGGGGAGGAGCCCCCTGAGGAAAACCGTGTGCACCTGGGACACGCTATCATGTCCTTCTATGCCGCCTTGATCGACCTGCTAGGACGCTGCGCACCGGAGATGCATGTGAGACCCGGGAGGCCAGGGCAGGACAGACCTTGAACTTCTTCAGTCAGTCATTGAGCAACATTAGTTGAGCAACGCCCCTCCCTCCCCCACAGGTGGTCTTAGGCTAGGTAATGCTGGGGCCACAAAGTCACCAAGAGAGCCCGCTTCACGGATCTCTTCCGAGTCTAGTGGGGGAGATAGAGCCATCACTGGGCAATGACAGCCCCAAAAGGGTGGGCTAGGACAGCAGAGGTGTAGACCTGGATGAGGGAAGCCCCTGGGACTGTGGCAGCCCAGAGGAGGCAGCTGAGCATGCCTTGAGAAGTCAGGGAGGGCTTCCAGGAGGAGGGCTGTCTGAGCCAGGAGTTGGAGGAAGAACAACTAGACTTGAGGTAACAACCCTTTGTCATCTCCTTCCTCTTCACCAGTTAATTTAAATGAGAATAGAGTCTATCTCTATATAAATAAGAAATTCAAAAGTCATTTTCAAAAAAGTTTATTGTATTTTATCTCTGCACCGATGAGAAAAGGAAGTGCCAATTTCACAAAGAAGATGGCGCTTAGACAGGATTTCCAGGGAGCAATAACTATTAGATAAGGTGTCCAATTAGATCTCCTTGGAGACTGAAAGTTGCTTTCACAGAACACAGTAACAGCCTCTGCAGCCCGGGTATCTCACAAGCCTGCTGTGTTAGAAGTACTCGATGCAAGGACAGTTTGCGGAGTGGCAGACACCTGAGGGAAGAAACCAAGTCCCCCACCCTCCTCTTGCTGAGACTTCCTTCCCAGCAGTTAGAGGGACCCACAGTTCTGGGCCCAGTGCTGGGATTCTAGAGTTAGCTGCATGGGAAGGTGGCCTGCTCTAACCTGCCAGCGTGGCGGGAAGGCAGCGAGGACCACACGGCGCACCCAGTGACTATGCACCTGCCCCTCCAGCTGATTCAGGCCGGCAAGGGCGAGGCCCTGCGGATCCGTGCCATCCTGCGCTCCCTCGTGCCCCTGGAAGACCTCGTGGGCATCATCAGCCTCCCGCTACAGATCCCCACCCTGGGCAAAGGTGCGGAGGGGCAGGACTCAGCAAAGGGGTGATGCCAGGGGTGGGGAGGATGGGCTCCCTGACCGCCCGCCCTCCCTCCCTGCCCACAGACGGGGCTCTGGTACAGCCAAAGATGTCGGCATCCTTTGTGCCGGACCACAAGGCTTCCATGGTGCTCTTCCTGGACCGCGTGTATGGCATCGAGAACCAGGACTTCTTGTTGCATGTGCTGGATGTGGGGTTCTTGCCTGACATGAGGGCGGCCGCCTCGCTGGACACGGTGAGCAGCCCTCCCCAGCCAGGCCACCCTTCCTGCCTCCAGAACTGAAGCAACAGCAGCACCCTTTTTTCTTTTTTTTAATTGTGATTTGGGTGAAAGTTTACAGAGCAAATTCATTTTCCATGCAACAATTCATACACATTTTATGACACGGATTACAAGCCCTACAATGTAACAGCTCTCTTCCCACTTTCTCCCTGTTACCTTTTCCCTGTGTCCTTCTCCCCTATGCATTCCTGCCCTCTGAGCCATCTCCCTGAATAGCAGCACCTCTGTTTGATCCAGGATCTTGCACACACCATTAACTCCCCACACACCCTGCATCGAAATAGAAAACAGAAGCCAGGAAAAGCTCTGAGTTCTGGGAGAGGGTGGGTGGGCGGCTCCAGGACCTCAGGTTCTAAGAATCAGTATCAGTGGTGAGTGAGCATGGTGGACGTACACAGACCAGTCTCCAAAAGCTGCAATGGCAGCAACAAAAGGTGACAGGTCAAGTACTGAGGACTGAGAATTGGTCACTGGGTTAGCAAGATGGAAGGAGCTCTGGTGGTGTAGCAGTTAGGGCATTTGACTGCTAACCAAAAGGTCAGTGGTTCGAACCCAGCAGCTGCTTCATAGAAGAAAGACGGAGCAGTCTGCTTCCATAAAGATTTATAGCTTTGGAAACCTAACAGGGGTCACTGGGGGTTGGGATAGACTGGATGGCAGTGAGTTGTGTTTTTCTGTTTAGCAAGATGGAGGTCCCTGGTGACCTTGGTGAGCAATTTCTGGGAAGTGGTGAGAGTGGAAGCTGCATGTGCTAACTGGAGAGGGCTTAAGGGAGTCCGGGAGGCGAGGTGTTGGAGACAGTGAGTAGAGACAGTTCTGTATGAAATGAAAGGTGAAGCCGAAGCATGGAAGGTAAACTTGGTTGAGTAGGTTGTTCTTAAAATGGGAAGAGTAACTTTTTCATTAACTGAGAATGAGAAGACTGGAACCTGACTCTATAACTGCCAGTTTATAGGAAAGACAGAGGGCAGAGGACAGCAAGTTGACACACCACAAAGAAGGAAGCGACCAGCCAGATCCAAACTGGGAAATTCCATGGCACAAATGACCGATTTCTCCAGAAAATAACTAGCCCTAAAAGAGGCAAGAAAGGGCCATTTACAGATGAAAAGACATCAGTCAAGTGTAGTTTCTGGACCTGCCTGGGGCCGTGATTCAAACAATCCTAACTCAATTGAAAGCAGCTTTTTGAGATAATTGGAGAAACTTGATCATGAGTATTAAAGAGTTGTTAGGTGTGATCATGGCAGTGTGAATGGTAAATAGGAGTTTCATCTGAATGCAGATACATATTCAAGTATGAGTAAGATGATACATAAAGAGCCCTGGTGGTGTAGTAGTGGTTAAGGCATTTGGCTGCTAATCAGAAGGTCGGTGATTCAAACCCACCAGCTGATCCGCGGAAGAAAAATTGGGCAGTCTGCTTCTGTAAAGATTTACAGCCTTGGAAACACAATGGAGGTTGCTATGAGTTGGAATCAAATCGATGGCAGTGAGTTTGGTTTTTTGGATGGTAATACATGGCTGGAAACTGCATGGAAATATTACAGAGAAACGTGTGGGCCGTGCAGAATGCCCACAGCTGTTGAATCTGGGTGTGTGAGTTACCTAATCCACTGCCTCCGAGTCAATCCTGACTCATAGCGACCACCATAGGGTTTCCAAGGTTGTAAATCTTTATAGAAGTGGATTGCTTCACCTTCCTCCCTCAAAGCAGTTGGTGGGTTTGAACCACTCACCTTCTGGTTAGCAGCCACCAAAGCCAGTCTTAGTGACTCATAGCGATCTGTCCTTGGGTTTCCAAGGCAGTATCCTTGAAGTAGATTGCCTAACCTTCCTTCTGAGGAGTGGCTGGTGGGTTTGAAACGCCAGCCTTCTGGTTAGCAGTCAGATGCCTTAGTCACTACACTACCAGAGCTCCCAACCAGAGGTGAGGATTGACAACACATATTTTGGGGGACACAATTCAGTCCCTAACACTGGGTAGCAGAGACAGGGGAGTTCATGAGTCAGCTTCTGGACTTCAGTAGGAGCTCTGATGGTGTAGTGCCTAAGGCATTTGATTGCTAACCAGAAGGTTGGCAGTTCATACCCCCCAGCCACTCTGCAGAAGGAAGATGGGGCAGTGCACTTCCATAAAGATTCAATGCCTTGGAAACCCAATGGGAGTCGCTATGAGTGGGAAGCTATTTGATGGCAGCAAGTACGGTTTTTGGGGCACTTGTTTGTTTGTTTGAAAGGAAGTAGTGACTGGGAGGGGAGAGGACTGGGGGAAGATCAGGCGTCTGGGTCTTTTACCCAAAGTTACCCAGGGCAAGTGCCTGAGCAGCCCTAGGGAGGAGTGCTAACAGTGGACCTCACGTCCCCGCCCTGCCCCGCATCTCAGGCCACTTTCAGCACCACGGAGATGGCGCTGGCGCTGAACCGCTACCTCTGTCTGGCCGTGCTGCCGCTCATCACCAAGTGCGCGCCTCTCTTTGCGGGCACGGAGCACCGCGCCATCATGGTGGACTCAATGCTGCACACCGTGTACCGCCTGTCCCGCGGCCGCTCGCTCACCAAGGCGCAGCGCGACGTCATCGAGGACTGCCTTATGGCGCTCTGCAGGTGGGCGGGCCGGGCAGGTGCGGGCGCAGCCGCAGGCTGGGGCGGGCCCGGGAGCCCGACTCCACCGCCCTGTGCGTGCCTCCTCCGCAGGTACATCCGCCCGTCCATGCTGCAGCACCTGCTGCGGCGGCTGGTGTTCGACGTGCCCATCCTCAATGAGTTCGCCAAGATGCCGCTCAAGGTGAGGGCCCGTGGGTTAGCCTGATGATTCCACGCCCCGCCCACCGGCTTACTCTGCCCTCAAATTACGGGGTTCATTTTGACAACGCCCAGCCCAGCCCACCCGCAAATGTGAGGGCACCATCCAGTAGAAGCCTCGCTAGCATCCTCATTTGTATGCTAGGATCCCCAGCACATCCGTTTTGCATCATTAGTGCTTCTAATACTTCCTAATTAGCGTTTAATTTGCCTACCAGTGAGGAAGTCCCCGCCCCAATTAGCATATATTTGCATGGGGACACATCACTTTTCCTAATTGGCAGGCTTATTCTCGTGCCCAGACCACAGGCCTTCCATTGTTTGAATTAGTATATTGAAGTATTTAGTACTCACAGCTACTCTGAATATTTGCATACTGTCATCCCCCCACCCCCAGTTTTTGTTCATTTGCATGCTTGTTTGCATAAGGAGATACCCTCAACTCAAGTATCGGGGCTATTTTGCATAATACATCTAAATCAGCTCCTGGTTTCAAATTTGCATATTGGATGAGGTCTCTTCCCAATTACCATTTGCACAGAGTGTGCTTATGTTTTATCTGGCATGCTAATTTGCATAAGGACAAATCACTCCATCTATATGTCCATTTGCACAGGGTCCTACCCATGGATTAATTACTGCCGTACTGATTTGTGTAAAGAAAGCAGCACTAGCCAAATCCAGCCCTGGTTTAGTGCCCACCCCGACTCTAAATAGAATGTTAAATTTGCATAATAAATGGTCCAGCACCAATAAGCATTCATTTCTTTCCTCTTTAGCATCCATTTGTATAATCCACACTTCCTTTCTCACTTGAAAGCAGTGGAATGGCACGAACCTACCATCACGCTCACACTCCTCATTTGTGTGTCCCCCCCTCTTGCTCCTGCCCAGCTCCTTACGAACCACTATGAGCGTTGCTGGAAGTACTACTGCCTTCCCACAGGCTGGGCCAACTTTGGGGTCACTTCGGAGGAAGAACTGCACCTAACTCGTAAACTCTTCTGGGGCATCTTTGACTCCTTGGCCCATAAGGTCTGGGTCATGCAGGGGTCCCAAAAAGGGGCCTGTGTGGAAAGTTTGGGACCCAAAGGTGGGGTTCATGATGAAACTCCCAAGTCTGGGAGTTCAGAGAGCAAGCAGTTTTGCAGGTTTGGTTGGGTTGGGGCTCCACTTTGGGCATTATGGACGAGGGGCCATCCTGATGGACCAGGGCCTGGAGAGGGCTAATACGGTGCTGGTTTGAGGGTCCAAGTGGGTCTAAGGTTTGGGTTTCAGGGAGGAGGTGCATAATTCAGGTTTTGGGCTTCAGGGAGGAGAGTTAGTGGCTGGAGGGTATGGGTTTGAGATCCTGGGGCTCCAGGGTTTGAAGGTTCAGGCAGGCCTGCAGTGACCCCCTTCCCACCCTGGCATCTGCAGAAGTATGACCCGGAGCTGTACCGAATGGCCATGCCTTGTCTGTGCGCCATTGCAGGGGCCCTGCCCCCTGACTACGTGGATGCCTCATACTCATCCAAGGCTGAGAAAAAGGCCACAGTGGACGCTGAAGGCAACTTTGACCCACGGCCCGTGGAGACTCTCAAGTGAGGCCGGGGGGCCAAGAAGGGAAGGCTGTGGAGGGGGAGGGAGAGACTGGCCCAATGCCTGTTGCTGTCTTCCTCCCCTCCCCCACTTCCGTAGTGTGATCATCCCGGAGAAGCTCGACTCCTTCATTAACAAATACGCGGAGTACACACACGAGAAGTGGGCCTTCGACAAGGTTGGGATCATAGTCCCCCCTTCCCCAGAAGCCCCTTTCCCTGCCGGCTTTCCTCCCTGCCGGCCTTCCCTGGGACCCCAGCTTTACCCTTGACTCAGGTCTTCCCTGAAACTCCAATTTTTCTTCAAGATCTCCAGTCTTCCCAAAACTCATTCAAAACCAAACTTACTGCCACCGAGTAGATTCCAACTCATAGCGACCCCACTGGGTTTCCAAGGCAGTAAATCTTTACAGAAGTAGATTGCCTCATCTTCCTACCATGGAGCAGCTGGTGGGTTTGAACAGCCAATCCTCTGTTAGCAGTCAAATGCCTTAGCAGTGAAATGCCTTGGGCACTATGCCACCAGAGCGCCTAGATTTCTAGACCCTGAGAATTTCCCCAGAGCCCTCAGCCAGTGCCCCGCCTGCCCCCTCTGCCCTGGCATCGCCTCCACTCACCCGGCTCCTTCTCCTCTCCAGATCCAGAACAGCTGGTCCTACGGAGAGAACATAGATGAAGAATTGAAGACCCATCCCATGCTCAGGCCCTACAAGACCTTCTCAGAGAAGGTGACCAGGCCTGCGGCTCCATGTTGAGAATCCAAGATGAACCCTCCCATTTGGAGGTTTAGGGAGAAGTGAGACAGCTCACAAGTTTGGGTCTAGGTGGACCTGTGCATTAGGGGTCCCCATCCACAAACAGGGCCACCCCTCTAACTTGGTTACCTCCCCTCCAGACTCCTAGTAAGACTTAAGTGCACCTTGGGTTTCCCATGTGTAAAATGGGATAATGAGAGTTTGTTTTAATAAATCAACCAAACTCACTGCCATCAAGTGGAAGCCGACTCATAGTGTGACCCCTCCTTGGGTTTCCAAGGCAGTATCACTACAGAAGTAGATTGCCCAATCTTCCTTCTGAAGGTTTGAACCACCAGCTTTCTGGTTAGCAGTCAAGTGCCTTAGGCACTACGCCAACAGAGCTCCTGAGAGTTTGTTTAGGAGGCTCTTTTAGGTAAGGGCCCTGCGTAGCGGACCTGGGTTAGAATCCTGACCAGACCACTCCCTAGCTGTGTGGCAAGAGCTCTCCCCTTCCCTGGCTGCTGGGCGCCAGTGGGGCTGACCCGGGGCTCCTGGTTCTCTCTGTCACGGATTCCACTAACGCCCCCTCCTGCTCACCCCAGGACAAAGAGATCTACCGCTGGCCCATTAAGGAGTCCTTGAAGGCCATGATTGCCTGGGAGTGGACTATAGAAAAGGCCAGGGAGGGTGAGGAAGAGAAGACGGAGAAGAAAAAAACACGGAAGATATCCCAGAGTGCCCAGGTGGAGGCGGGGCCAGGGCAAGGGGGCGGGATCAGGAGGAGGAGGTGGGACTCAGGAGGGTGGGGTTCAGAGGGGAGGGAGGGGAGGTCGGAGAGAGGGTGGGGCCAGGTGAGGGCTGAGAGCGCAGGAGTGAAGCGGGTATGGATCTGAAGAATTGCAAAGGGCTGGAGCCTGGAGGAGGGGCTGGGGCCTGGAGGAGGGGCTGGGGCCTGGAGGAGGGGCTGGGGCCTGGAGGAGGGGCTGGCCTGGGCTTCCTGCTAGACCATCAAGCCCCCCATCTCCTCCTCATCCTCCCAGACCTACGACCCACGAGAGGGCTACAATCCCCAGCCTCCTGACCTCAGCGGAGTTACCCTGTCACGGGAGCTGCAGGTGAGATCCCTGGTCCTTTATTTGGGGGCATGTCGGGGCCTCTTGGAGGGGAGGAATCTTTTCCATGTCTGGTCCTTAACTCTCATCACCCTCTCCCAGGCCATGGCAGAACAGCTAGCGGAAAATTACCACAACACGTGGGGGCGGAAGAAGAAGCAGGAGCTGGAGGCCAAGGGTGAGTGGGGGCGTCTCCCTTCCCACCCAGATCTCTTCTCCGAAGTCCCTTAGATACAGGTTCCAGAGTCTTAAGGGCCGAGGTTAGCGCTGTCTCTCTACCATGTGACTTTGAACAAGTACCTTCACCTCCCTGAATCTCAGTTTCTTTGTGTAATAGCGATAATAATAACATTTAACGTCGCAGAGTTGACATGTGGAGGTGATGAGTTAAAATACAAAAAACATTGCTTTGGTTTTGCTTATCTATAATTACTGTAATTATGCACGACCTCGACTACAGGGACCCCTTCAGTGAGAGTGCCCTGAGCCTTCCCCAGGTCGCTGATTCCTGGTCTTTACTGTCCCAGGCGGTGGGACCCACCCCCTGCTGGTCCCTTACGATACGCTCACTGCCAAGGAGAAGGCGCGAGATCGAGAAAAGGCCCAAGAGCTGCTGAAGTTCCTGCAGATGAACGGCTACGCGGTCACCAGGCAATTGGGCTGAGAGGGGAGGGGCCGGAGTGGAGGCAGATGGGGGCGGGGAACGTGGGCGGAGCCCACACAGCAGTAGCTGGGAGAAGCAGGCTGCAGGGAACGGAGGCGGGGCAAGAAAAGAGACTAGGCTAAGAGGGGTGTGGCCAGGGGAGCGGAGGCAGGCAAGAGAGGGGAAGAGGCTACGAGGGGTGTGGTCAGGGGAGCGGAGGCTGGGCTGGTGGGGGGAACTAGCGGTAGAGGCGGGGTTCTAGACAGGCGGAGAAACGAATGGGGCCTGAGTCTAGGCTGACCCCCTCCATGTTTCCACGCAGAGGCCTTAAGGATATGGAGCTGGACACGTCATCCATCGAGAAGCGGTTTGCCTTTGGCTTCCTGCAGCAGTTGCTGCGCTGGATGGACATTTCCCAGGAATTCATTGCCCACCTGGGTATGAAGAATTCGCTCCTCATGCCAGTCGCCCTGCAAAGACTGACCCAGCAACCCAGTTCATGCATTTCTCCCTCCTCTGTCACTCTCTCCCTCCCCGTCTTCTCCCCTCCCCTCTTCATCATGTATACTTGAGCATCATCTGTTGGTGCCAGGCCCCGTGGTAGCCCTTGGGGATGTAGCAGTGAACAGAACAAATGTCCTTGCTCTTTTGTGGCATACGTTCCTGTGGTGGATTCAGGCAGTTGATGTTATAAATCACTGAATCACTTAGTATGTTAGAAGATGGTTAGTGTTACGGGAAGAAGAAAAAAATCGAGCCAGGTCGGGGGATGGGGAGTGTGGGAAGATGGAGCTACTGAGAGCCTGATATTTAAGCCAAGACCTGAGTGAGGTGAGGGCAGGGCCACGTGGCTATCTGGGGGAAGATCATTCCAGGCAGAGAGAACAGCCAGTGCAAAGGACCCAAGAGGTGCTGCCTGGTGTGAATACAGGAGGCCACTGTCACTGAAGCAGTGGTTAATGTATTTGGCTACTAACCAAAAGGTTGGTGTTTTGAACCCATCAGCCACTCTACAGGAGAAAGATGAGAGGGAAGGCCTTTAAATAAGATTTACAGCCTTGGAAACTATTTAGGGCTGTTCTACTCTGTCCTATAGAGTTGCTGTGAGTTGGAATTGACTTGATGGCTAGGGGTTTGGTTTGGTTTGATTGCTGACAGAGTGATTGGAAGAAGAGTGTGAGGAAATGGGGTCAGAGAGGTGTCAGGGCAGAGCACATGGCTTTGCAGGCCATGAGGCGGACTTTTTTATTCTGAGTGAAATGGCAACATGGGAAGGTTCTGAGCAGAGGAGGGAGGTGATCGGACGCAGGTGTCCATAGGGTCCTTCAGACTGTGTCTGGGAGCAGGTCATGGGGACCAGAGACGATGAGGGTGAGTGCAGGCAGATTTTGGATCTATTTAGAAGGTTGAGACGCTGAGATGCACAAAGATGCCCCTTCTATACCACTGAGAATCACAGCTGGGGCTCCCACAGGCCCTTCTGATTTCCCCCAGAGTTCTCCGCATCCCCTCGACATTCCTTGAGAGCAACTCCCCTCAAAAAAACAAAACAAAGCCCACTGTCATTGAGCTGATTTGACTCTAGCAACCCTGTAAACAGAGTAGAAATGTCCCATAGGGTCTCCGAGGCTGCAAATCTTTACAGAAGCAGAGTGCCTCATCTTTTGTCTACTGAGCACCTAGTGGGTTTGAACGGCTGACCTTTTGCTTAGCAGCCCAGTGCTTTAACAATAGTGCCACCAGAGCTCCTTAGAGCAACCCCAGGAACCCCAGATCCCTTTCTGGTGAGCGGCAGAGCAGGATTCCTTCTCCAAGCCCCCACGCTGAACCTGTGTTCTGCTCACGCTCTTGGCAGTCCCCTTCCCTCTCTGAACCTCGGTTTCTTTGTGTGATGGGGTGAAGTGTTCACCATAACCACTCGCAGTTTCATCATTTATTTGCTGAGCCACCTAAGTTGAGTTATTTCTCCTTCGTTTCTTCACCTGTAAATGGAGGAGGAGGATCAACTGGGCAAACCTCAAAGTCAGGAAGAAACATTTTTGACGTTGCTGGGGACACTGCAGACATTTAATAGAGATCAATATGATTATTTGTAATATATTAATTATTACTGTCCTCATTATGACTGTTATTATGTGTGAGGTTGACTTCTATTTAAAAGCAGTTCTAATCTGTCTGTATCAACTTCTTGTTTCATTTGGTTCATTCATTCATTTGCTCCAGATTTACTGAAGGCTAGGAATTAAAATGCAGCAAGAAAAGAGTTTGTGATGAGTGACGAGGGCACTGATCCATGGCCTTAGTGCATCCCGATTTAGCCTCTTCTCCCCACTTTCAGCCTCAGGAAAGGTTTGATCCAGGAGTTAGGGGATCAGATAAAAGGTAGAGGAGAGAGGCTTATTTCAAAGCCAGTAGCAATGACTTACCAAGATCTTACCTCCCAATATTGCCTAACTCTGCCCCCAGAATCTCTTCCTGTCAGAACCCTGGGTTCCCCAGCCTTGAACCCACCATGATCCCTGTTTGCCCTCCCCTACCAGAGGCTGTGGTCAGCAGTGGGAGAGTGGAAAAGTCTCCACATGAGCAGGAGATTAAATTCTTTGCCAAGGTGAGAGGTGGGCTCAGAAGCTGGAGGGGGCTAGGGCTGGGGTTTGGGGCTCTCCCTGGCCCTCACCCAGTGCCCCCATCTTCTTCCCCCACCAGATCCTGCTCCCCTTGATTAACCAGTACTTTACCAACCACTGTCTCTATTTCCTGTCCACACCAGCCAAGGTGCTGGGCAGTGGTGGACACGCCTCCAACAAAGAGAAGGAAATGATTACCAGGTGGGTTGCCCTGTGACCTCTGACCCAGCCCTCTGACCTCACAGGGTTGTAATCCTCAACCCCCTACCTCAACCTTGAACCTCAGGGCCTCTGTCTGGGATGGAGGGATTTCCCAGGAGTAGGGGACTTTCATGCTAAAACTGAGAAAGTCTCAAGCAGGAACGAGGTGCTCACTTGTCGGAAATGCTGGTTCTCACCTGTGACTTTCCAGCACGCTCGCCTCTCTCTGCTTCTCCTCCCTCCTGTCATCATCCGCGTCTTCATCAGCTTCCTGCCTTCTCCAGGCTCTGTCTCCCTGTCTTCCCCATCACTGCCTCCTCTAATACTGTGTCCTCTGTCCTTGTCTCCTTGGTCTCCTGGCTCCCCGTTGCCCCCTTCTCTTTCTTCAGCCTCTTCTGCAAACTCGCTGGTCTTGTCCGTCACCGAGTCTCTCTCTTCGGTAAGTAGCCCTGTTCCTGGAGTCTTTTTTCCTCATCTCCTCTCTCTCCCTTTCATCACCAACCCCCCCAAGAAGAGATAGTTCCCAGGTTCAGGCCTTAATTCAAACAACCTTCATTGATCCGGGCAGTTCTGGAGACAGTGACTGACACATCCCTGGGCACTGCCCTAGAGCAGCTCCCAGGCCAGTGGGAGGGACACAGTCATCACTAGACAGTGATGACCCAGAGGGGTCGAGCCTGATGGGGGAAGCCCCTGAGATGGTGAGAACCTGGTGGAGGTGCCTGCAGCATTTGATAATTCTGAGTGGCAGCGTTTTGTCTTTCTGGAATCAAAGAGAAAGGTTGGGATGAACATAAAGGAATGCTGTCTTCCGGCCCCTCTTAACCTTCGCCTGTCTTCTCTCCCAGGGACTGATGCCCCAGCTGTGGTCAACTGCCTGCACATCCTGGCTCGCTCCCTGGATGCCAGGTCAGCTACGGGTCGTGGTACCCACTCCCACCTAATCACAGCCTCACCCCTAACCCCTGTTCTCCGTGTTGTTGTTGTTAGGTGCTGTCGGGTCAGCTCTGACTCATAAGGGCCCTGTGTACAGAAGGGAACACTGCCCGGTCCTGCCCCAGCCTCACCGTCCTAGCTATACCTGAGCCTGTCGTCGTCCTAGACCCTCTGAAGTCGGGAGTCTCGGATTCTAGATCTGAGGTCCTCCCCTTCTTTCCTAGGACTGTAATGAAGTCAGGCCCGGAGATCGTGAAGGCCGGCCTCCGCTCCTTCTTCGAGAGTGCTTCCGAGGACATTGAGAAGATGGTTGAGAACCTTCGGCTAGGCAAGGTGTCCCAGGCACGGACCCAGGTGAAGGGAGTGGGCCAGAACCTCACCTACACCACGGTGGCCCTGCTGCCTGTTCTCACCACCCTCTTCCAGCACATCGCCCAGCACCAGTTTGGAGATGACGTCATCCGTAAGGGCTCCCGGCACCAAGGATGGGGAGCAGGGAGGGGTTGGATTCAGCCACCAAGCACCCTGTGCCTGAGGCTGAGGAGGTGTTTGAGAGTATGGACTTTCTGCTCTAACCAAACTGCATTATATGAATTTGTAGGTAACAGAATGAGCTAGTTAGGGTGTAAGTCCAGTAGCTCTAACGAAAGACCCCAAACCACTGTAGCTTAAACAAGATAGAAGTTTCTTTCTTATGTGTTGTTGTTATGTGCCGTCGAGTCGGACCCAACTCATAGCGACCCCTCCTTGGGTTTTTCTGAGGTGGTATCACTAGGGAAGTAGATTGCCCAACCTTCCTTCTGAGGAGTGGCTGGTGGGTTTGAACCAGCTTAGCAGTCAAGTGCCTTAGGCACTATGCTACCAGAGCTCCTCTTTCTCATATAGCAGTCCACTTGTAAGTGGATCACAGTGTTAGAAGTCCAAGTTTCCCCTGTCTGGTTGTCCTGCCGTCCTCTGAAATATTGCTTTGATCTGCAGGGTCCAAGTAGGCTCACCGTGACATACTCATTCTAGCCAGTGAAGGGGGAGAAAAAGGAAAGAGGAAGGCACTTCAGTTCTTTGAGAGACAAAGGGCATTTAAGAGTCAGCTGAAGACTCTTGTGGTTCGCTGCCAAGCTGAGTCAACGAGAGGGAGGCACAGCAACACGAGACGCTGCCCAGTTCCACATCCCCATGATTGACTGCAGATACGTTGGGTTTTGATTGGCTGATTTTTAGAAGCGATCACCAGGCCTTTGTTCCTGGTCTGTCCTGGTCTGTAAGCTCTACTGGAATCCGTTGAGCATCATAGCAACATGCAGGTTCCCACTGATACAAGGTGGTGGCTGTGCATGACATCCATTGGCCAGGAGTAGAATCCCGGTCTCCTGTATGGAAGGCAAGGATTCTACCATCAACGCCCTCATTCAGTGCTTTTAAAGAAACAACCTGAAAGTGACCCACATTGCTTCTGTTTACCTCCCATTGACCAGAACTTAGCATGTGGCCACATGTAGCTTCAAGGGAAGCTGGGAAGCCATGTGTCAAGCTAAATATTGGTAGTCTCAGCTCTTTTTTCTTATTATTTGTTGTTGTTATGTGCCATCAAGTCGGACCCGACTCATAGCGACCCCTCCTTGGGTTTCTGAGGCAGTATCATACGGAAGTAGATTGCCCCATCTTCCTTCCGAGGAGCGGCTGGTGGGTTTGAACTGCCAGCTTTCTGGTTAGCAGTCAAGTGCCTTAGGCACTACACCACCAGAAAGAGCAAATATTGAAGGACAATTCCCAGAGCCTGTCATGTTTATGCTACCATGTGGCACATAGAGTGTGTGACCCAGCCGGGGATGCTGTGGCATAGTGCATGTGTTGTTAGTGAGATACTGGCAACCTAAAGCACCCAGTGGGGTGTCACAACAGTGCGTATACATGTACTCAAAAGAGCCTCTTAACGTGTGGCCTGGAGCAGGGAGAAGTCACGAGAAGGAGGACAGGAAGGGACAATGGGAGAGACACTTAGGGGCTGAGAGCTTTAGGACCGATGAGCTGTGGGGACTGGAGGATGGTGGAGCCATGTCTGAGCTCACTGTTTATTTGAAGATAGAACCTTTTGATAAAGTAAGAAATGTAGCACTTAGATGGGGGGGATCTTTCCTACTCCAGTTTTTCATCTTGAACATTTCAAAACGTAAAGAAAAGTTGAAAGAAGATAGTTAAGTTTGCCCCATTTGCTTTACCTTTCACTTTATTGGTGAAAGTAATTACATAATTTTTCACTGAAGTTTTGAAAACAAGTTGTACTCATCATAACATCTCATTTCTTAGGAGTCAGCCTGTAGCTCCTGGATGAAGGTGCTTCTTTCATGGGACCACAATACCATCATCACACCTAATGTCACCATATTTAAATTTCCTTCATTGTCCCCAAAATGTCTTTATTATTATTTTTTTTGTTCAACTCAGAATCCAGTCAAGGTCCCCATATGATTGCCTTTGGTTGTTATGGCTCTGTAGTCTCTTTTCAGTCAAGAACTGCCTGCTGCCCTCTTTTGGCCTCATGACATTTGTGGAGTGGATGAGGCTCTTCAGCTGGCCTTCTGGGAAGGTCTGTGGAGAACTGAAAATTGTGGTTGGAATTGCGTGTTTGTTTGTATTTTTCTGGAGAGAGCATCCAGCACTTTCATCCAAGAGTTCCATGACTCCTCCAATGAGAAAGCAGCAAACAGCCATTGTTTCCTCCACCCGTCCATGAGTGTGTCATGCTGTGGTGGCTTGCATGTGGCTGTGATCCTGGAAGCCTTGTCACCGATATTTTAGCTATCAGCAGGGTCACCCACGTGATGAAAAACTGGACTAGCAAAGATCCCCCCCATCCAAGTGCTACATTTCTTTAGGTGTTTGCAGGCATTCTAGACTGAGACAGACTAGGAGGAAAGACCTGGTGATCTCCTTCCACAGATCAGCACAGAACATTGCCCAGTTACTAAGGTCATGAAGATGAAGCAGCACTAGGCAGTGGTTGGTTCTATTACACAAAGGTCACCATGAGTCAGAGCCAACTCGATGGCACTAGCAACAGCGAGCCATTACTGATGCCAACTCTACATCCTCTTCTAATTTCTTTCCAAATCCTAATTCATTTAATCCTTGCAACGACCCTGTGAGGAAGCTACTGTCATTATTCCTGCTTTACAGATAAGGAAAGTGAGGCCAAGAGCGAGTTGGTACTTGCTCAAGTCACTCAGTTAGTGAACGGCAGGCTGGATGGAAGAGGGAAGGAGTGGAGCGGGGGAGGACTGCTGTGGCGGGTGCATCCCTGACCCTCCCTCTCGCCCTCAGTGGATGATGTCCAGGTCTCCTGCTACCGAACTCTGTGCAGTATCTACTCTCTGGGGACCACCAAGAGCACTTACGTGGAAAAGTAAGGAGGGAGAGCCATAGTTCTGGGCTGGGGCGGAGACCACGGGGGCTCAGGGAGGGGAGGCAGCGGGGAAGAAGATGTGGGGGCCTGGCAAACTGGCAGCTGCAGTTCCCCAAGGCAGCCGCATGAGGGCACTTAGGGGAAAGCCAGCCACAAGGTGGGAGGGCCGCGGGGCACGTGCTGGCCAGGAGCTCAGGCTGCGTGCTGCTGCAGATCACGCTTGCCCTGCAGGGGGCACACAACCGAGGGTGGCAGACGGGACCCATAACACTGGTGAGCACCTGGGAGACCCTTGGCAGTGCTCATGGGGGCTTTCAGGGGCCAGGATCCCACCAACGGAGCAGGAGGCCCTCGGGAGGCCTGGGGAAAGGGCATTTAGAAGAATATATGAAGTTTTTCAGGTTGCAACAAGCATGCCCTGGCAGCTTCACCCTAAAGGGCGTGGGGTGAGACCCAGGACCTGGCTGGGGGGAGGCATGGGAGCTAAGCACAGCCCCCTCTTCCAGGCTGCGTCCTGCCCTCGGGGAGTGCCTGGCCCGGCTGGCAGCTGCCATGCCCGTGGCATTCTTGGAACCTCAGCTGAACGAGTATAACGCCTGCTCAGTGTACACCACCAAGTCTCCCCGGGAGCGGGCCAGTAAGTTGTGTGAAGACTGAGGGGCAAACGGGGCTTACAGTCCACCCAGCAGGGGGCCCAAGAGAGCCTCCACTGTGGGGCAGTGTCCCCCAGTCTGGCCTGTGAGGGATGGAGGAATTGTGGGTGCTCCAGGTTGGGAGATCCCAGCATTTATAGGTGCCCTGGTTTGTGGTGTGAAGGCATTTCAAGGCTGTTATATGAAGGCTTAAGGAGCTCTGGTGGCATAGTGGATAAGGCATTTGGCTGCTAACCAGAAGGTCAGCAGTTCAAACCCACCATGGAAGGAGAATGGGGCAATCTACTTCTGTAAAGATTTGCCGCTTCAGAAACCCAGTGGGGGTCGCTGTGAGCTGGAATCTGCTTGATGGCAGTGGGTTTGGTTTGGTTTTATATGAGGGGGTTCGAGAATCCTTGGATGGTGCAAATGGTTGAACACTCATCTACTAACCAAAAGGTCAGGGGTTCAAACTCCCAGAGGTGCCTCAGAAGAAGGGCTTCTGAAAGGTCACAGACTGAAAACTCCACAGAGCGCAGTTCTGCTCTGCAACACGTGGGGTCATCGGGGGTCGGAAGTGTTCATATATGTTATTATTATGAATAATGACCCAAGCCAAGCTCACTGCCATCAAGTCAGACCCAACTCATAACGACCCCTCCTTGGGTTTCCGAGGCGGTATCACTACGGAAGTAGATTATCCAACCTTCCTTCTGAGGAGTGGCTGGTGGGTTTGAACTGCCAGCCTTCTTCAAATGCCTTAGGCACTACGCCATACATATTTAAGTACACCTCTCCTCACTTATCAACTCTCTTGTTATCTGATATTTTACATTTTACAATAGTAAAAAATCTACCATCTGACTATTTTGTGCATAAACAATGTACGTCTGGACGTGACGAGCGAGGTGTGAGGTGAGAGTGCCGCTGGCTGTGATGGTGAAGGTTATGTGTCAGTTTGGCTGGGCTGTGATTCTTGGTGGTTTGGCAGTTACATAATGGTGTATTTTGGCTGTTATCTCATGGTGTAATTTAGTAGTTATGCAATGATGTAGGCATGCTCCATTTTGTGATCTGATGTGATCACCCTCCATTTTCCCATAACACCAATTATAACATAACCACCTGGTCTTTGGAACCCAACCATGTCCATAAGTGAGGAGAGAGTATGTATAAAACAAAAACAAAAATGTATGTGTGTGTATATATACATATACACATGTACGTCTATAATAGGGAAGGAGCTCTGGTAGTGCAGTGGCTAAAGCATTCAGCTGCTAACCAGAAGGTCAGTGGTTTGAGCCTACCAGCTACTCCAGGGGAGAAAGGAGGCAATCTGCTTTCATATAGATCAACAGCCTTGGAAACCCTATGGGGCAATTCTGCTCTGTCCTAAAGGGTTACTATGAGTCAGGGACTGAATTGGGATGTGGGATTTAGAGAGATGAGACTGGGAGCAGAGTCTTATTTCTGGGGGTGGAGGAATAGGTTTGGGGTGTGGGGTATTTCAAGAGTGAAGGCTTCTAGGGGTGGTGATTGGGGTTTGGGTGAGATTGTAGGGAGCACACATGCTTGGATGTATGAAAAATTTGGGGGTTACTAAGTTTCAGTGTGAAGGTTGGGAGAGGTAGTTGGGTTGGAAGATGGGGTCAGAGGATGGGGATGGGAGGACCAGCCTGGGCAGGTGGTGGCTCAGTGGTGCCGAGCATGTAGCGAGGGTTTGGGGGCACTGAGTTTGGAGGATGATGGGTTGGCATCCCCTGACCTCTCCCTGCACCCCAGTCCTGGGGCTCCCGAACAGCGTGGAGGAGATGTGCCCTGACATCCCAGTGCTGGAGAGGCTCATGGCAGACATCGGGGGGCTGGCCGAGTCGGGGGCCCGCTACACGGAGATGCCGCATGTCATCGAGATCACGCTGCCCATGCTCTGCAGCTACTTGCCCCGCTGGTGGGAGTACGGGCCTGAGGCGCCGGCCCCTGCCCTGCCCGCTGGGGCCCCTCCACCCTGCACAGAGGTCACCTCCGACCACCTCAACTCCTTGTTGGGGAATATCTTGCGAATAATCGTCAACAACCTGGGTATTGACGAGGCCTCGTGGATGAAGCGACTTGCTGGTGGGTCTGGAGCACCGGGCCTTTGGGACTGGGCCACTGTCCTGGGGGCGGGGGTCCCTTGAGCAGAGGTCTGGGAAGGAGATCCTAGGGTCCATGGTCTCCTGGGAGTTGGGAGGAATCAAGAATCAGAGTCTGTGTTATCTCAGGGTCAAGAGGCCAGGGGTCATGGTAGGGGTCAGAAGTCTGCCTCATAGGGTCCAGGGAGTCCTGTAGGTTAGATTCTAGCATTTGCTTTTAGGTTAGGGGTTAGGAGCTGGGTCAGAAGCCTGAATAATTCCTTAAACAGAGGATCAGAGGACCAGGTCAGGCATCAGGCCCCCTGATGGGTACAGTTCAGGGTCTTAGGTCAGAGGTCATTTCTTTAAAGAGATGTGATTCCTGGCTCAGAAGTTTCGTGTCAGGAACTGGGGTTTGGGTCAGGGCCAAGTTAGAGACAAGGGGCTGGGATTAGAGACCAGGGTCAGTAGTCAGAGGCTGAGATCAGAAGCCAGGGGTCATCGTCAGAATCACGTAGTGGGGTCAGAGTCTGGGTATGGACTGGTCAGAGGTTAAAGACTGGGGTTAGAGGTCATTGACCAGAGTAAGATATCAGGGAAGCTGGAGGTCAGGATGGAGTGTGTGGGGACACTAGGGGCACACTGACCTGTTGTTGTCAACTGATTCAGTTGTTGAGAGTCAGAGGTCTGGGATTTGTGTCGGGCGGGAGTCAGATAATAGGGACTGGACCATAGGTTCAGATCAGGGGTCATGGTTGGGATCAGAGTTCAGGGGCTATGTCAGAGATCAGGAGAGATTTCAGAGTCAGATACTGAGGTCAGAAGTTAGAGGCCAGGGTCAAAGGATAGGTGCTGGGTCAGAGGTCTAGGTCATGGGTTGGAATCACAGTTCAGGGACTGTTAGAGGTCAAGGGACAGAACCAGAAGTCACAGGTCAGATGCTAGATTAGTTAGAGGCTGGCCAGCTGAGTGACCCCTGCCCTGCACCTCTGCAGTGTTTGCCCAGCCCATTGTGAGCCGGGCCAGGCCTGAGCTCCTGCACTCACACTTCATCCCAACCATTGGGCGGCTGCGCAAGCGGGCGGGGAAGGTGGTAGCTGAAGAGGAGCAGCTGCGCCTGGAGGCCAAGGCCGAAGCCCAGGAGGGTGAGCTCCTGGTGCGAGACGAGTTCTCTGTGCTCTGTCGGGACCTGTACGCCCTCTATCCGCTGCTCATCCGCTACGTGGACAACAACAGGTCAGTGTGCCCCTAGTGTCCCCACACACTCCATCCTGACCTCCAGCTTCCCTGAGCTCCGTCTGACCCCTCGTCCTCTGACTTGCTGTAAACTTCTTTCCACTCCACCTGACCCAACCCGAGCTCCTGGCCACATTCACACAATGAAATCCAGCCACCTGTGCTTGCCCCACTCTGCTCTTCAGACCTCCTGAGTCGGCCCTCTGCCATTTGTAGCATCACTCTTAAGGGGCCTTACTGTTTCCCTCCAGCACTGTGTCTATAGACAGGGGTGTACAGACCTTCCTTAGTCACTGAGAGAAGATAGTGGGACAGTCCAGATCTGGTCAGCCTGATTTCCCTAGAAACACGGATCTTTAATAAAAGGACAAGCACAGCTATAAACCAATTGGAAAACCTCCCTCAACTCAGAAACACTGTGTAAAATGTTATTACCTTGTAGGTACAGCCTAATCTAGGGATGGTGGTGACTAAGTTTCAACTCCCTTGCCACGTACCATCTTGGGGAAAGATTTTCAGGTTGCATCAGGGCTTTGTGCACAAGGGAGCGCTGATTGATTAGCTATGTCTGCCGTGGGAGCAGAAATGGGAAGTGGTGGCATGCATGCAACATAACTGATACTCCAGGTGTTGCTTAAACTTGAACTGTTACCATTTGCTGCTTAATTTAGCCACAAGTTTGGGTGGCAGAGTTATGCTCAATAACCATTGGCTCACCCTGGATCTGTTCTGAGGGTTAGAAACCTTTAGTTTTATGGACACATGGGGTTACCACGAGTCAGAAAGGACCTGGTAGTGGTGGTGGATGGGGTCTGAGGGAAATCTCTGTTTCTTGACTTGGATAGTGGTTTACTTTATTTATAAACTGTGTTTATTTGGCAGTAATTTGTAGCGTGGACACTCATGAGCTGACACTTGTTAATATGTATGTTACATTTCAAGAAAAAGAGAACAAAAAAGAAATGGAAGTTTAAAATTTTTAATTTTTGTCTGAATGGCCAGATTATCCTAGAAAATTCCACTCTACTTATTGAGTGTGTCCTGGTCCCCCGGTCCCACAATCCCCCTGCTTTGAGGTCTATGTGGCCTCCCTCCTGGGTATCCCCGCTCCCCAAGCCCTCACAGGTCCCTTCCCTCCACACCATCCAGGGCGCAGTGGCTGACAGAGCCCAATCCCAACGCAGAGGAGCTGTTCAGGATGGTGGGCGAAATCTTCATCTACTGGTCCAAGTCGCATGTGAGTCTGGCCCTCACAGCCCCTCACCTCCATAACCCAAGAAGCTGCTCCCCACAGAGCCCCCAGCCCACCCTGTCTGATCCCAATACTGCCTCCGCCATCAGAATTTTAAGCGTGAGGAACAGAACTTTGTGGTCCAGAATGAAATCAACAATATGTCATTCCTGACTGCTGACAGCAAGAGCAAGATGGCCAAGGTGGGTGTTTTGTTCTGGGAGCACCTTCCAGGGTCCCCTCCTCACCCAGCCAACCTGTCCTGTCCTGGTCACATTCCCACAGCCCTCAGAGCAGTCCCGCTTCCCCATCTCCTTCTTCCTACATTGTCTTCCTTGCCCCCATCACTCTTCCTCCCCATTTCTTGGCCACCTTCCGTCCCTCCTCC